TACTTGTCTCTTTGACTAGTTCGTAGCTTTGCGTGAATAATGGCAAAACTCACCGATCATGCTGACTACGATGCCGGCGAAACGTTTGAGAATGTACCAAGTCCACTGTCTGACGCTGGGAAGTCATGACAACTATTATGGCAGACGAATTCGGACTAGGTGCGTTCCACCAAGTCGCCCTGACAACAAGACCAAGTTGCGACAACGAGGTCAATCCACTTCGTCTCTTAAAGTGTATCAAGTCGTCCCATGCTGCTGCCTTTAAGGATCAGTTGCACTGTGCCTGGCCAAAATGGCCAATCCAGTGGAAAACGTTTGCCAGCAGAACTTACCAGACCTGGCCCACACTCGAACCCTTGTCTGGTCATGCTTCTTCACATGCAAGCCAGAACGCAGTCACTGGCACAAGTACAACAGCTTCACACTAAGTGCTACCTCCTCAGGGCAGGCATTAGTGTCCCGAATTTACGACAGACTAAGGCCGACTTTTATTGACACTTATCGGCCCACAAACCTGACAAACTGCTCGGTCTTCTTGACGAAGCTGAAGCGTACAACACGATCGAGTGGAGGGATCCTTGCCCGAGAGGCGGGAGAGCCGAATATGCACAGCAATGGGGTTCCACAACTCTCGCTTTAGCCACCAAATGCACATCATCGCGCATTCCCTAGCGTCAAACTATCTTTCGACTCCATTATCTTTACACAAATACCTTTATTTTCCACTCGCCAAACAGCCTAATTCAACCACGAATCTGGTGACAATAAAGGGATGAAATATCATACCGGGAAATTTTGTTTCTTCAACGTTCAACGAATTCGAGAGTGAATAAAAAACGTATAAATTGAGCCCTCCATGCATTTTTCACTTGCAATTAATCAGGTATGAAGACCAAGATGGTATCTCCTTTTGTTGTATAGACATTGTTCGAGCTGGTTTTCGCAGCTCGGTCATATTTGTAGGAAGACTTATAGGAACGCACCTAGTCCGAAGTCCATTGTATGCATCATCATTTCCAAAGTTGAACCGTAGACGTAGATGA